GTAAGAATGTATTGTATGTAAAGATAATGTGTACATACGAACATCATGAATACTTGAGCTACACAAAAGAAGAAGAAAACAATATAAAGGAGTTCTTTTACTTCACTTCTACATCGTGTACACAAAAATGTACATGTTTAAATGAAGAACGTGCAATACAATAATCTTAAAAAGACTAAGTCTCTAATGGAAGTAGATGAACGTAAGCAAGAGTTAGTTTTTAAAGAAAATACTATTCGATTTTCCGAAAAAAACGAACGATATGTTCCGTTACAGAATGTCCTAACTAGAAAATTTTTGTGATTTATTAAAGAAATTGATGATAAAAAAAAACAATTTTACGGAGTTTTTATTTGATGACCAACATGGAAAAATCTTGTTTATTCAAAATCAAAGTCAGCTCTCACTCTTCTTCGAATACAAGAATGACAGATTAAAAAGAGTGTCCTTAAAATCTTTGCGCCATCATAGCTACCCGTTGGCGTTGCACATTCATAGCAAATTGCATTGAAGTAGGTTCATATCGATTTGGTCGTAATTTGATTTCTGATCGATTCTTTGCAACAGCTGTATGACCATGGATTGAAGGATTTTTAAGTCCTACAAATTTCATACATAATGTTGACAATTATTTGACAAAACAGAATAGATTGTATCGATCGAATTATGTTCTTGTACAAAAGTTTCAATTTCAGCCAGAGTTTTCCTGGTTTCTCCAACAACTTGATAGCAGATGTCCATATCAGGAAAAAAAATCATATTCACCAAATTTTAAAGAGATTCGACCGTGTTTGCCATCTGTTGCTTATTCAATGTAATAAAATTTATTTGTTTTACGGCATTTTAATACGCAGATATGGTGCGAAATAGTTGGATCGTGTGTATAATGATCCTCACCAAGTGTTTTATACAGAATATAAACTTCAAGTAGTTCTTCACTACCTTTCACTTGTGTCGTTCCCGTTTTTCTGAAAACAAAGTGAAATCAACAATCAACTTACTATGAATGAAGAAAACAAAAACAGCACAAATCCAACGATAAAAAATTTATGATTTCTAAATGTGGTCGAAATACATAAGGATCCGTAAAATACAATCTCTGATCTATTGTAAATGATTTGAAGTGAAACGTTCTGAATATTTATTAGGAGAGCAGTAGGGAACTGCAAAATCACTTTTTTTAGTCCCGGTCCCGGTCCCGGTCCCGGTCATATATTTTTTTTTAGTCCCGGTCCCGGTCCCGGTCCTGGTCAAATTTTTTTCCAGTCCCGGTCCCGGTCCCGGTCTTTGACATTGGCTTCATTCCTAAAATCGAACAATTTTTTAACGATCTATGTACTTTTATGAATACATTAAATTGACATGAATAATTTTGATTCGTTAACATTACGAGAATTGTTTTTATATCCAGTGTTAAAGTGAAAGAATTTCATTGAAAACTCGAATAAATAAAAATAACCATTGAATTTTGTTAAAAATTCTCATGTTCTTCGTAGTAGTCATCTACTCATTTCTCTCTTCTCTTATATCTACTGCTCTAGCTAAGGGATTTATTATCGAATTGGTTATTTATACTGAGTCGCCATTACTATTGTCAAAAAAATAAAATAAATGGCGACACATTGCATAAAAAACTGACCGGGACCAGTATGCAAAATTTTTAGTCCCGGTCCCGGTCCCGGTCCCGCAAAAAAGTCAAAATTTGGTCCCGGTCCCGGTCCCGGTCCCGGCGGGACCGGGACCGGGACCGGGACCGGGACCACTTTGCAGTTCCATAGAGAGCAGTCGTACAGCTGCTAAACTTGACTAACCCTAAGGAAACTATAAAAACTACAGCTCTGAAGATGACATGAGAAAAAAATTGTATCTCATGTTCTTTTTTCTTTTTTTCTCAACTGTAATTGACAGATCTTAATCTGACTTGTACTTTACTTCTTTAACTATATCTATCTCGAATATTGTATACTTTTGCAACAGTGCAACGCTATATCTAAAGTGATAACAAGAGCTGAAAAAATCCTAATGGAAAATCCCATAAATGATAAGCAAAAAACAATTCATGGAACAACACGAAAGAAAGAAGAACTAACGGAAAGAAAAAGTCCATAGCACATAACTAAAGAAGAGAGAAATGAAGAAGGAGAACATAAGTGCATAAGTAGAATCTTATTGACAAAAAGAGGGAACAGTATTCGATTGTTCTTATGCTGAATTGAGAAAGCATCAATTATCATTTCATAATCAACAGTAATATCTCCGTCTTGATGACTAATAATGTTAAAGTACTCAGTCTAATATCGGACATACTGTTTTGTGCAGCCGTTCTGATAAGTTCTTGTTTTTGGTGAAAGTAGTGGATGTTTCTTGAGAACTCTAATAGAGTTTGTATCACAACGAGATGCATATGGATAGCGAAAGGAGCATTCAATTATTCAAAAAGTTTTTTAATCGCATAACTGCCTAGTTATTTCAGCATCGCGGTGTGTAATCTCTTAATACTCCTTCCACAGTGGATGCGCAACGATAAACGTTTGAAGTCTTGTTGAGATATAGTGACTTCAATGTAACCTTTTATCAAAATTTTTTGACAATTTGTATACAGTGATCACTCATGTTTTAGTTCATCAAATTTTGAATAAATAAATAAACAGCACACGTACATCAACGTCACGTTTTAGATTGGTCATTTCATTTAAATATCGGTTCTCTGACTCTTTCTTAGGAATAAACTATATGAAAAAATCATGCTTAGGTTCTCTTGTAAAATGTATATTCCCGAACAAAAATCTTACTCTTCTTGATCTTTCCATGATGTCAGACTTTGTATCACAGTTATAACTGAGTAGAGATATGATATGAATGTTTTATTTCAGTTTTGTGTACAGATCTCACTAATGAATCTGATGCAAATTTCCCGTTCGTAAAAATACACCGAATTGCACGATATTTTTAAATCTCGTCCGAGACAGATAAAGTTAGTAGAAGTGAATAATTTTTGTAGTAAGAGCCAACAAAGATTGCAACATATACTATGAATATCAAGAAATTTAGGTTTTACTCAGAACTTCAGAAAATATGAAATATTCGTCAACTGGTTTAAAAACGTTTCAGGATATATTACAAAATGATTTTAAACTTCGCATAACATTTGTAAAAATAGTTCTACGATAAATCAGAGAGACATTGCTGAAACTCGCAAAAATTTATAAACTGATCCGAAATATTTATGGTATTTGGTTTTTTCATGACAAACTTTATAGCGTCAGTGACAAACTGGAGTTTGGGCACTTTTCTGTAAGCGTTAAATTGAGTGTTATAATAAACTACTAAAGCATATATTTTTTCTAAAGATGTTTGAGATAAATGTATATATATTGTCTATTATAACCAAACAGTGAACTTTTCCTTAAAATTCTTAAGACTTTACATTTAGATAGTTCGCACCCGCATTATTTTTATTCTGCAAGAATTCAAAAATGTTGGAAACAAATTATTGGTGATAATCTGCTTCAGACTCTTGAAGAGTAGTTAGTCCATAGTAGATTTATATAATGCATTGTTAATAACTGTTGCTAAATAGCATTGTACTGGAACAATTACTTTGTATTGTACTAAAATCAGTATGAAGTATCAGGTATATGTACACAGAATATGAAATTATTAGCTGCAATCATCGAAATAACTGCTCCTGATCTTCTTCTTCTCTCCATTGTGTTCTCTCCCCATGAGTCACGACCAATGCTTGTTTCTATACACAGAGCAAACTCAAAAAAGTATGGCGAGTGTGAGATTGTTTTTCAAGGCTTCATGAGTTCTGTATGGTACCTTTGTTTCACTGAAATCTACCATCAATTTATCTTTTAGAAAAAATTTTAACCGAGTAAACAAATTCTGAAATACTTCTATTTTGGTTACTCGGTAATTAAAAAGATGACATCGGCTCAAATAGCTTGATTCAGATTCAATGAATACACATCTGACTTCACAATAAAAATTTTGAGTTTTTAGCTACACTGTTTCCGATCAAATTTTGAAAATTTGAATTATTTTTGAAAACGAATCAGACTCCTACTTCCCATATACAATCTGTATTACCAATCAGATACTGGAAAGGAACTGAACTCGAACCACTTCTGGAAAAACGATGTCGAAGTGAACTTGAATTAGTAAAACTCAGTTCGATTTGGCCTCTGCTATCAATACACCTTCTGCATTTTTGTATTTTGTGTTTCTCTAAACTCATAATAGATGTAGATAAGTCAGTAAATTATTAATTGGTGTACGACACTGACAAAGACGTTGATATGTAACGAAAATATTAGTATCTATTACATTAATAATTGTTACATCGAAATTCTGAATAATAAAATATGGTTTTGTTTTGTGTCGAATTATTTTTAATGGAACAAATATCTTGTGATATTGATCAAGAAAATAAAATCGAACATAGAAAAACTTATTGAATTCTTTTCATTAGTTATTTTTTTGAACTAGAATGTCATCTCATACTTTTTTTTGTACTTTTGTTCGAGTTCATATCATGTAGTAGATACAATGTCTTCTTCGCTCTAGTTGAACAAGGCCGAAGTTCTCTTGATGCATAGAGAATAAAAGAATGTCTTTATTGATCCGTGAAGGACTGAACATGCCTTAGATTTCTTTTTTTTTTTCGATGTCGAAATGATTAAACATCTTCAGTTATTCTACAAAAAAATGAAATGATTTCACGATATTTATAACACAAACTAAAAAAAAATTCAATATTTTGAATAAATTCATGGATATAAATCAGCATCTTCATTCAATATAAATTTGAAATACTAAATATATGAATCATCGTTATTGAGCACAAAAAACCTTGTCTGTGATATGTATAATTAAAGGTTATGACCTTACCTTTGTGATAAGTATAAACTACACGGTTCTGATTCGTTTGTTATTTTTAGCTTCATATACTCCCATCATAAAATATCATCAATTTGCACTTATCGATTGCTATTATGGCAGGTTCAAGTGTAATAGACGATGAAGAATCATCTTATGATGACTTAACAAATTTTACTACTGATATTACTGAAGAAGTAACAACAAATTATCATGAAACATCATTTTTATCTCCATTTACAACAAATATGAGTTCACCATTAAGTTTTGAATCTGTTTATCGATCATATCAAACAGATACTCAATCATATGATAATACTCCATTAGAATCACTTATTGATTGTAATCAATCTGATTTAGTAAATCTTGATAACTTTTCATATGATATAAATACAGAAGACCAGCAAACGATAAATGATAATTCTGATGTAGTACCAACAACAGATTCAATACTTGCACAAGCACTTCCAGAATCACTTGCAACACCATCAGGATGGTATAGTGAATTACTTGATTCATTGTTGCCTATTTCAGATGAAATGAAAACAAGTTTAAACATTAATAATAATAATAATAATAATAATGATCCAAATTTTATTGAAGAAAATCAAGAATATCAAACTTTATATACAATGGATGCTCCTCCTATAATTTTCTCTTCGAATGAGGAATATAATCGAACAGTTAATGAAATATCATCATCACCTATACTTCAATCAACAAATATCAGAACAAACAGTACTAGTGAATATAGTAATCTACCATTTGACTATTGTACAAATGGCGAAGCAAAACTAAATTTAATAAATCCTCAACAAATTTCATTAGCAAATACAAAAGAAAAAGAAGCACCATCACCACCACCGATTGTTATTCGTAAAAATGAGCCAAATAATACTGTTACATATAAACAAAATGTTTCTGTACGTTATTTACAACCACCTACACCACCACCACATGGACCGATTATTATTCGTAAGAAAAACAAAAAAAAAAAATCTTAGAAAATTATACTATTCATTTTATTTCTTAGGTGAAGTTTGTCGACCTTCATCACCACCAGAACCACCTATTAAAGTGCAATGATTTATCTGTAATTTTTAATTGAAATTCATATATTTTATAATTTTAGATTCGACAAGTACCACCACCTCCGCCCACACCACCACCATGTGTAATTAGAAAAAAAAATTTATGCGATTAAAAAAAAAAAATAATAAAACTACTGTCTCTGTATTCTTTTTCAAAGGTAATCCGAACAAGACCTCCTCCACCTCCAGCTCGACTTTCTCCAAAAATAATCGAAAAAATATTACCACCACCACCTCGTCCACCACGTCGTATGATTGTCGAACGTTTTCAAGAATGTCCACCTAAACCAGCTGATGTTATCATTGAACGTTGGTTACCTTATAAACGAACTGATCGACGACAAATTTTTTATCAACGAGCACCACAAACTAATACGTATACAAAATTTATCACTAAACAATAATGAATCTAATTTTTTTTGAAAATATTTTTTAGACAAGCACGAGAACCGAATATACTTATTCTACATGAAAAACCACAAGCACGTATTAAAAAGGAATTTATTAATGAAGGAGTTGTTAAAGTCGATCCTCAATCTTATATTCAACGTTATGGAGCTGAACTTGATTCACCACAAGCAAAATCACAGTTTGCTAGTTTAATTGGTGAAGCAACTCGTGTTCTACCACCACCTCAACCAACTGTCTCACCAGCTGGTCAACATAGTCTTCCTCAATCTCCTACTTCTTATCCACATGGATATCAATCATCTCCATCTGCTTCTGTTTTAAATGTTTGGGATAAAATAAAATCATCCTCGCCTATATCTCATCCAGGATCATATCCTGCTGATGAATATTCAAAATTTGACTCATCTTATCGTTATTCTCCACAATTTCCTGATAGAACGCAAGAAGGAGGCATGAAAAGCATGGTCGATGTAACATCTTTATGGAGTCAGCAATATAATTTACCACAGTCTGATACTCATCTTTCATCTTATCAATATTCATCACCATCATCATCTCTTCCTACGAAAACAATTCAAGTGAATTCTGACGATGAACTTCAACATGTTCTTTCTGATTTAACACATGGTCAGGTACCAACACCATTTCGTTCATATTAGAACTTTTTAAATCACAAAAAAAGAAGACAAAAAAAAAAGGACCAAATAAATATGTTTGTTTTCTCATTTTATTTACATGTTCTCTTTCAAGAATAGAATAAGTTAAATATTCAAGACTTTAAAAAAAACACAGAAAAATGTTTATTTCGGTCGTTGATTTCGAGGTTGTTTAAGCATTTGTCCTTCACCAGAAAATGGTTGAAATATATTTGTACTAGGTTTTTCTACTGTACTTGTTGTTTCATCATTAATTGAACGTAATGGTATACGTAAAAATTGTAATGTACCATATTCATAATCATAATTTGGTATTCCACGTGTTTGTTGAATTTGTAAATTATTTTGTTGTTGTTGTTCTTGATCTTTTGATTTATTTTTACCATCTAAACGATTACCTTGTCCATGAAATGGCATAAATGTTGATGGACTTTTATAACTATTTGGTATTCCTGATATTGAATCAGCTGGTGTCATTGCCATTGAACTACTTGTTTTAGGTGTTGTTGATATATTTTGTGATGATGTTGGAATATATTTTGGTTCAACATAATCAATTGGTGGTGCAAAATCAACTTCCATATCACATTCAATAATTGATACAGCATCAGCTGGTTTTAATTCCAAAACACATAATTCATAATTACGATTAAGATAATTTATTGCAATAAGATCACCTTTAGTTAAACAATTAAAATTTCTTAATGCTGTTTCTAAAACAGCTTTAGGATTTGATATATCAAGAAAATCTTTTGATTGTGGTTGAAAACGTACAAATTTTGCTGTTGGTAATTTAACAGATTCAACACTTATTTCATCACCTTCTTGTAATAATAAATGATGCATCATCCAATTAGGTAAATAACACATTGGATCATCATTAGGTAAAAATTCTAATACACCACAATGTGTTATACGATCAAGTTTTTTATTTTTTAATTGAAATAACATGATATGATTCTAGAATGAAGATCAAACAACAAAACATAATAATAATAATAAATATTTATATTTGATTATTCTTCTTACTTGTTCAATTAAATGTTCTAAAGCAGCTTGTGGAAGTAAAATTTTTCCACCATTTTCAACATTAAGACGTTCACGATCACGATCAGGTAAAAATGCAGCTGAATAACATTGATAAACAGCACGAAATGGAACACCAGCACCACCACCCATAGGTTGACCACCAGGAATATTTTGTCGAAAAAATGGATTAAAAAACATGATGAGACTCGAAAACAATCTAAAACACATCGATTTGATTCAAATTAGAATATTTTAGACGTCAACATTTTCTACTGAAACATTTGTTTTCATCTGAATATTACTGTAATCCAGAAAGATACAAACTTTTCTATACACGAAAAATAAAAGTACATATTCTTTTCACTTTCTATGTAAGAAAAATAATCATAAAAATGAACTCTTTCGATACTTTAAAAAGCGTTCGTGTCATTGATCTATTGTTGCAAAGATATTGCACTTTTACATGAATGAAGAAACAAATAGAAAAGCTGATTTCGAAATTTTGACTGCATATAAATTGGCAGTATTTTCAAAAATCTATGCTCGGTAGAATTTCATATAAAAATTCAAAAGAAATTAACATACTCTTAAATCATCAACGATTTATTAATTGAAGAACTTTTCACATTCGACAAAAACCTAACGAAACTAAGACTGATCTCATTTGATATTTTTCTACATTTCTAATACCTTCTATGGTAAAAAAAGAAAACTCTAACTTATACCTAACAGATGGATAGATTGTAGACACAAATACACAATATTGTATGAATTTTTGTCCTTAAGTGAACTTTCCTTTTTATGCTAAAATACGAAACCATATGATCGCTCTATACTTTCTTACCAAACAACTACTAACAATATATATATTCGTCATTTTTCATGATGAATTAAATGACGTGGCAAAAACTTCTATCATTAGTTGTCTGTTGAGAAAGAATAACATTTCAGCACATAGAAAAACAATATAATATCTCAATTATTAATAATGATTAACTTTATATCTATCTAAAACAATCGATATGTTATATGTTTGTTTTCAAAAAAAAAATTTATTAAAAGAAAAATAAATTATTTCTAAGTATAATAGATAAAAATGATTGTTCATGAATTTATAATAAATTTTGACAATACAAAAAAAAAAAAAATAATGTCGCTAGTTTAATAAACATTTATGTACCAATGAAATTTCAATGAAATCAAAAGAAAAAAAAAAAAAAACAATATCTTCAATGATGAAAATGAAAAATTCTGTCTCATCAATACATCTAGTAGAGGGAGCTAGAATAATATTTTATAACGATAAAAAATATTGTGTCCAAGAGGAGACGATCGTGGCTGCTTTAATTTGGTTTCCTTGGATATAAAAAATTGAACAATAGAGAAAAGAAAAAAAAAAAAAAACCTCAATAAATAATTTTTAATTGTGTCTTTTTTTTTTTTTTGTTTTTTAAAGATATTTTCAATGCAAAAAAATCATCAACATCTTGTACGGCCATGTGCTGTCTTTCTTGAACGTTTAAATGATACATTTATACCTTCAAAACGTTATAAAGTCGATGCTGATATTATATATCGATCATCAAATGAACAATCTTCACATCATAATAATGATGAATTATCTGTTGATGTTCTTATGTTACCAAATAATAAAGTTAAAATATCTTCATCATCAACATTTGAAAATATATCTATAAATTCAAATAATCAAATAACAACAAATGATGATATAAAACCAGTTGTACGTATACGTCCACATCAATCATCAATTGATTCTAATGAATATGATACTTCAATAATATCTAAACGTCATAATTCTTTACGTCGTAATGAATCATCAACATCAAATAAATATGATAATGATTTATATTTATTTAATAGTACATTTGATTCAGGTGATGAACTTGGTGTAGATTTAAATGATGATGATTTAGCATCAATAAATCATGTATTAGATTTTGATGATGATGATGATCTATCAAATTTTGATGATGATAATCAAAATTTATCATTAACAACAAATAGTAATCATGGTTCAATTAATTATCATTCAACACAATTACCAGATTTAGTTATGGGTTCAATACGATCTGAAAATGGTATTAAATCTGAACCATCATTTCAATATAGTGATTTATTTAATCGTAAAGGACGTACATTTGTTTGTGATGAACGTGGAAATCGTGTTGTATCTGTTAAACTTGAAAAATTATCAGCAAAACATTTAATTGATTCTATTGAAAGAAATTTAGGACGTTTAATTTTAGAAGAATGTCGTCGTGGTGATTTACAAGCACATATTTTAAAAGTATGAAAAACAAAAAAAATTAGATTTGATATTATATTTCTTTTTGTTGTTGTTGTTGTTTAGGTTGTTTTTAAAGATGAACAAGAATTTTTTGATTTTAATCGTTCAGCTATTGTTTCAAAACATTCATTTAAACAATGTCCAGAAATGTATACGAGATTTCTTGAAAGTTTATTTGAATCACAAACATATACAAATGATAGTGAACATGATCCACTTGGATCTGATGTAAGTATTTTTCTTCTTTTGTTTTATATGTTTACATATTGATAATGAGTGATGTTTATTTGCATTTGATTTATTAGAAAGTATCAAAAGCTTTAGTATATGAGCTTAGATATAATGTATCTATTTTCTAGAGCAAATATTTCTTGATAAAACATGATATATGAACTAAGCTGTAGCTTTTACTCAAGTGAGCCTATAAGTATTTTTTTTTAAAGAATTTCTTTCAATGTAAAATGTTTGTCATGTTTTGTTGAAAAATAAAAACGTCTTGTTCAACAACTTTCTTTTTCTACATATTATTCTTATAAAGATAAAAGTAACATTAAGATCATAGATTTTGTTTTTTTTTTTTTTTAATATTTTCCAGCGATATCTCACATGAAAAGTAGTATCTATTAAGAGAAAAACTTACAAATTAAAGAAAACTAATAATAAATTGCGTATCAATAAATGTCTATCATCTGTTTTGATCGATTATATATATGCTATGAATATTGTTTATTTGACCTAACTTGTAACGTTTAAAATTCCCAATGGGTTTATTTCATGAAGTTAAAAAAAATAGCATTATTATTTAATGCAGAGAGACAGAAATAATCTCAATCAACTTTCTGAGTCATTATAAATATCATTTCACTTTTCATATATAATTCATTTGTATATCGTATTGTTTTTTTTTTCAAAGCTATTTTTACCATAGGAAAAAAAGCCTACGTAGTTTTTTCAGTTCATTATGGCATAGATGAATGACACGAATGTCAAAGTAACATTCAACAAAATAAAAGCTACTCTTAATGAGTATTTCTTTTTTTCGATTGCTAATTATTGAAAACTTTTTGTGATTTTTTTGATGTTAGTTGTATCTATATAATCTGATTATATAGCGCATAGCTGTGAGTCAGATGTAATCGTTTTTGTTCAAGTATAGATCTCTTGGTTCACCGAATATTTAATCATTGTGTCGGTCTCAAACTCGATAGGACAAAGTTCGAAACTATTCTGTCTATCCAACGATAAGACTGTAAATATTGTTGAAATGACTATTTGATGTCTTCTGAGATAATATTCATCTGGTTTCAGTAAAAAATTCGATAGACGTCGAAGTTTTTTATGTATATTGTCATTGAGTTTTTTTTTTAATTATTTAATCGTGAGATGGCATTAAAGAACAACATGATTTACTTTAGAAATCGATAGTTGATGAAATTTTCTACAATATATATTACTCAAGTTTTTTATTATAATGCTTTGTTGATTTTCTATAATCATTCTATTAGTCGCTGTACCAATAGTAAGATAATGTAAAGAATATTGCCTGAAGATATGAAAATTTATATTTACATTCTTAATGCAAGGCATTGATGATAAGGAAGATTCTTTCTATAGCGAACATAACTCGTTTATTTTTAAGATGATGCCGATATTATTGTTAATGAAATAGATACTTTGTTTTATAAGTTATAGAGGTTCTTAAAGGACAGATAAGATTACTTTAACATGATAGACTTCTTAATCTTTGAACTCATTTCATTATCATAGATTGTGACTAACAGCAATACTAAGTACTACCTTAGTACTTATTAACAACTATTATAGCCTGAATGTTTCAACATTTTAAGAGATGTTTAATAGAATTGTCGAGTTATTCTAATTATCCAAATTGAACCTCAACAATCTTAAGAGTAAAGACCTTTGTATTAAAAATAAACCTATTCTATTATAAGGTAATATGAATAGTAAAAGAACTCAGATGCTAGTTCTTCTATATTTATAATATAAAATTTCAATGTTTTTTTTTTATCGAAGGTTATAGTGAAACTATTTATCATTAAATTCATAACAATATTTCCGAGGTTTTCAATGTCTTAAAATGATTATAAATGATTCCAATTGTTTGTTTTTTTTCTTCTTTTTTAGGAAGTTGATCAATTACATCATTCATATTGTTGTAAAGTTCATGAATGTGGTGAAACATTTACTTCAAGATCTGAAGCATTAAAACATGCAAAAAAACATGCAGGTATATTAAATCTAAACATTGATTTAATCCTGAGTTTTTTTTTTCTATCTTTAGAACTTGATCCATTTGATTTTGTTTGTGATCATTGTGGAAAAAAATTTCTTGGTATTGCTAATATGAAACGACATTTACGTGTTCATATGGGTAGTGAAGGAAAAGATTTTGCTTGTCCATTATGTCATTATCGTGGTTGTACAACGACACATGTTAAACGTCATATGGCACATAAACATTTAGAAAAGTAAAATAATATTTACAAACAAAAAGAAAATTTACAAATAAAATTTTATGTTTTTATATTTTAGATCTATACCATGTCCATATTGTTCATTTATGGCTGCAACAAATGCTGATCTAAAAATTCATATGGCTCGTAGACATTGGGATATAGAAGGACTTGATATATTAAATAATTTACCTAAAACATATAAAAAAGAATGGAAATGTAATAAATGTGATACAGTTTTTCATGATTATTCTGTAAGAAAAGTTTTTTAATCTATAAAAAAAATTAATTTTTGTTTTATTTCTTTTTAATTAAATAGGATTTTCAAAATCATATTTATAGTCATTCAAGTCAAACAAATAAATTTCAATGTAATCTATGTCCATATAATTGTAAAAGTTTTTCAAAATTAAAAGTAAAATTGTTTTTTGTTTTGTTTTGTTTTATTGAAAATTGCTATTTTTCTTTCTTTTTTTGTTTGATTTTTAGCGACATATGCTTTATCATCAAGGTCAACGTAATTATGAATGTCCGAAATGTAATAATAAATTTTATCAAATGGAACATCTTAAACGTCATTTAACATCGATACATAAATTAAATATTCCACAAATTGGTCGTGGAAATCGTTTATTTAGTTCGGATATATTAAAACGGGTAATGACAAAATGAATGATTAATAATGAAAGAATTTTTTTTCGAACGAGGAAATATTTTCAACTGTTGAATCGATTTTTCGCTTGACACTATTATCATTTAATTGGTTATGATGAGTAGTAAGAAAAACTTATGTTGATTTGTCAGATAGGCCTCATAATCACTAGAAATATCAGTAAACTAGAGTTAGAATGAACCTATCGTTACTGAGATATTTGAATTTTTGAAGATAATCTAAAAACTGTCCAAGTTTTCTTCGTGTTCAGTTGGTAAATGTAAATGGCTAAGAAACATTTTTGATCAAGTGACCAAATCTATAATATGATTCTTTTTTTTTCCTATGAATACTACTGTTTCAATATTATTTTAGCATTTCAGTAAAGTAGATCGAAACTTTTTCTTTCAAGAGTCGAAACGATGTTGATTTGTTTCCTTCAATGCAACTCCTTCATTGTTTTTCATCAGGATGGCATAATAAGATGATTCACTCTTTTTCTCGCTATTCTTAACTTTTCAATGGCGATCTTATAAATATCGTTGAGTCTAACTTAGACTCAACGTTCTGCTTTCTATATCATTAAAATAAAGTGTCTATTTTTTTGACAATTGCCAGACAATGCTCATAGGAACTCTTTATGAATTTTCTTTGCTAATATTACATTCGGAACAACCTCAGACACTGAAAGTCTTTCGTGAAACTCTAATTATCTGCAAGTTTTATATAGGATCTAAACCTGTTTCAACTTTAATGTTTGGAAAGAAAAATCATAAAGAATTTACACGAATAAGTTCTACTATTTATCATTAAATATGCAGTGTACATTTAAATGTTAAAGTTATCAAAATAAAAGTATACTTTCGTTTGTTCATTGTAATGATCATTGGAGAGAAATCTATTTGTTGAAAATTTCATTCGACGAAACCTTCCATAAATCTAATATAGTTCAACAGAATATAGAAAATAATTTACAGTAGCATTTCATATAATATATGCAAATTTTATGCTTCAGTTATAGAGACTGAAAAACTAAATAATTATAAATTTCATTATTTTATCATTAATATATTTATTTTTGTATAGCATTCGGATATGCAAAATATTCCACCACCACACGGAACTGTACCTCAATGTTATAAAGTCATTTCAAAATGTGTATTTACATGTCAAAAATGTCCATTTTCAACAACGAAACTTTATCATCTCAACGAACATGTTAAAAGTGAACATTTACAACTCGATGATTCAGCACATGTTTGTACTTTTTGTTCATATATAACAGATAAAAAAACGAATCTTAAAGTAATAAATAATGAAAAGATTTATTTTTTTTTTTTGAGAATCTTAATTTTAATATTTTCTTTTTTTTTTCAAGCGTCATTTACATCATAATCATGCTGGTCAATCTAATACACCTGTACTTTTATCGAATGATGCTCTTTTATCAAATCCTAATACAAAGTATGATATATGAACTAAAAAAGAAATAGATGATTATATTATTTGAGAAAATAAAAAAAAAAATAATTATATTTTTCCTTAGATTTCAATGTGGACTTTGTCGTCGATATCAAAGTAATGTTGATGAATTTATTAAACATATTACAGAAAAACATCGTATGGATGTATGTATGAATATTTTAAATAAAATAATAAATATCGGATATATTTCTTCTTCTTCTAGGTTGTTATATTAGATTCCGCTAATAATGGAAATATTCATCAACAGATAAAATCTCGTGGTCGAGCTGAAGTACGTTTTTTGTCTTTGATTTATGTTTTGTTGATTTTTAATTCATTTGTATATATTTCTAGTTAATATGTGCAAGTAATAATTCAACACCATTTCGATTTGATGAATACGGTGGTCTTGTTACTGTTATGAAAAATCCAAATGATACAACAATAAATAATTCAAATAATTCAACAACAGATTTTCTACTTCAGCAATAAAGAATAAAAAAGACAAAAAAGAAAAACCAAAATTTGTTTTCTGTTTTTCTATCTTTAGTTCATTTTTTTTTTTGTTCTGTATACACAATTGTTATTTTAACAATCAGTCAGTCCTCATAGGATTGTATTTTGCATCTTTAAAAAGAAAAAAAAAATATCACACACACACACACACAACCTATTTATGTGTATTGTTCTGTTTTTGTTTGTTTGTTTATTATATAAAAAAAACCATTGTCAAGAAAGAAAAAAATCTATTCAATGATTGTATTCTTTTCTTTATTGGCATATTAATAATAAAAAAAAAAAACCTATATTTAGAAGAAAAAAAAGTCGAACAAAATAACCTTGCTAATCAAATAAATAGACAATAAATCAGGATTGTTTATTGATTATAATAAAAGTTTTAGAAGAATTGTTTATGTTTTGCATATGTTTTCATATAACACAATAGTAGAAGATTGAATATTGTTTCTTTCAAAAACAAAAAAAAAGATACATTGTATAATAGACTCTATCTGACTTGCAAAACCAAATCTTTATAATTGTTATTCAAATTTTAATAAATAACAATAGATGAACATGTTTTATTATGATGTTAATTTCTCCTATAAGAAATTTGAAAATTCAGGAATTGCGACTGGGAAAATGTTAACAATTGAATTTATCATTCTTGATGACATGTTAAAGGAAATTACTGTACTTGCTAGTATGAAGACAATGAAAACTTCATTAATAGAGAGATATTTTAGCAGTCATAAATGATTGTTTCTTGATGATTTATTCCTATTGTCTATTCAATTCAATATCTTTTTAATTTCGTCACATATAATATTGTTTACCCCTTCATTTTAAATATATCCTGAAAGTATATGTCTTTACTACCTGTTTTACGAGTTTCCTAGCTATAAACATCTATTGTTAGATTATTAGAGTGGAAAATTTCTTGCTTTAAGCATTGCATTGTGATAAGAAAACACAAACATCAATAACATGCTACATTAAAACTTACAATAGATGAAAGTCTTTATATTTTAGAAAGATCATTATCTTTACGCTTTAGTTCAAATATTGCGCTGATGAATGAATAAATGAACTGGAATTTCTATTGTCTATTTGAAAATATCTAAACTATGTTTCAGATTACTCATGATGAAAAAGTAGAACAATAATAGGCTATAATTATCTTTAATAATCTATTGAAATTTTCAAAACAGCTAGAATAATTTTAGTTTTGTAATTTCGCCATAGTACTCAATGACGTATCTTTTAATAAATATCCAGCTGTCTATTATGTCCGAAAACGGAAACGCGTAAAACAAAAATTTGACAACACTTTTGTCGCATCCGGTATACTAGTTAATTGAAGGCGTTGTTAGAATGATAATATTTCATCTTAGATAATGAGCACCCTTGAATTTCTAGAATTTATTATATGATAGAAACGTCAAGAGAGAAAAAACATTAAGATCAATAAAAATATGTAATAAACATCATAGCATGAAATTTATTATTATTTGGAAGGAAATGAATATTTAATTCAGTGCTATTATTGAAAAGAAATTTTATTTTCTATTGATTATCATAAACTATTGACATGCTCAATGCATTTGAGAAGAACACAATTTTAAATATATGCTTGAGCGTTACTATTCATTTTATTTTGCTCATTTCCTTATTCTAAATGATACGAAAAAAGAAAATTGTTTCATTCGCTTCATTTATTATATCGAACAAGAGCGTTTCTATCGATACCTACGTTCTAACCTACTTTACAAAAAAATAAAATATAACTTAATTAAAAGCATATTTAAAAAAATGAATTTCAAAGAACAAAAATTATTATTTAATTCAAAATGACTTCAATGTTCTAGATCGACAAGAAATTTCTTATAGTATCAACTTGAAATGTAGGTCGAATATAAAAAATATTTCTTGTTTAATTACATAAGGCGTAATTGTAGTGTTAAAAGACTTTCTCAAATATACAAGATCAAGTTTAATATTTAATTCATTACATTTAGTACTCAACAAACTAGCTGTTTAACATCTCGTACTTAGTATTTTTCTTTTAGCAAGTTTGTATTACGACTGTTGTCTTTTCTAATGCACTCTTCCAGAACAAAAACATAATCATTTTCTTCGAGAATTTCAGAAAAAGAAATGAAAAGTGACATTTGATATGATATTATAATAATCATATCAAAGATTAATTTTCTAATGAGATATTACATTCATGCAAAACCTCGTTGACGTACTGTATTCTTTTTATCATTGTCATTTTCATTATTCAAAGAAGAATCTTATATCTTTTTGTTTTTTTTCGCAAATGAAAACAGGTGAGACGTACATATATGTATTTTTCTTTTAAAAAAATTTTTTTGTCGAAAAAACTTTGTGAGTTATTTTATTTATCTAATAAATGTAATCTAATGATGTTCAAAATCAATTAATATTATTTGTTTACAATAGAATAGAGTGAAAGTAAATATTAACATTGACATAACTGTGCAAATATGAAACATGTCATGTAGGTCTATTGACACCAGTAATTTTTAAAGAAAATGGCATGAAAATTGACTTTTCTTTAAAAAAAATTTCTTTTTTTTGCATCAATGTCGACTTTTATATGTGAAATGATAATAAAAGTCATTAAAATACAGATAAAAACAAATGTTTTACTATATTTGTTGTTATGATGCGAAAGTGGAAAATGTCAGAATGATGATCAAGTTCTCTTTTTTTTTTTCTTCTATATCATTCTGTTGTATATAGATGTAATCCAGAATAACACTGGCGATGATGAAGAAGCAAAAGAAAAGAACGGATCGAGTAGTGCATATTTTTTTTTTTTTATCTAATAATAAAGACATTTTTAGACTCAGTCTTCATTGATAGTAGAGTGATGAAGACAAGTAGTCGTAAGCACTATTCGAAATCTTCTTGATTTGTCATTAATATAAATATTAGGATTTACCGCTATCTTATATCTATTGGTGACTAATATAATACAGATTATATGAGGAGTGACAAATTAAGATTGGTATTAGAAAAAGCACTAATACTTTTGAATTAGTATTGAAAATAAAGCTTGACACTTGTCTGTTTCTTTGCATTAGCATAATTAGTAAATACTATAATGTTATTATTATGTTAGTATTCATTTTAACTCTAATACATCAAGTATGTAGAATAAGGTTTCATTCTCTTAAGGAATATTCTATTTGTCCATCTTTTCATGTTAGTAGAAGCAAATACTTATAGTCATTTATGTCTACTCAATAATACTAGAGTTTCTAATGTATGAATGTTATTCTTTTACAGATAGAAATGACGTCACTATTATAGATAGTTTTGAATGAATATTAGAAAAATTTTGTCAGTAATGTCACATAAAAAATTAGTCTCTAGACAATATCTTACAAATTGGATTCTTTAAAGAACTATAATAATAAATTGCGCATTCGTATTTATGTAACTATATCTGTTCATTATCTTAATCTGTCACTTATGGTAATTGTTCGTAGTTTCTTTTTTTTGTTTTTTTGTATTTTATTAAGTACCTAAAAGACTATCAATATGGATGATTTATTGTTGTCCTAAACTTTCTACACTTTTAATGGATTTGCTTCATTTAGTAAGAAAAAAAAAAGTCGTTCTAAAGTGATTCAGACAAAAAAAAATTATCAATCAACTCACTCAATCATTATAAGTAATGTCATTTCGCTTTTCATAACACTCATTCGCCCGTTGCATTGTTTCCCTAAGTTACTATTACGACAAAAAAATTGAGCTTCAGCAGTTTTTTTTTTTTTATATTAATGTTCATAATGGCATGAGAAAATGTCACAGAGACCATAGGTATTGAGTTGAAAAACAAAAATTACTTGTAATGAATGAATGATGGAACGAATATGCTTTATTTTTTTTCTCTATCTCTTGAGAATGCTAAAACAAGACCAATGGAAGTTTTTTTTTTTTTTTTTTTTTTTCTTTTTTATGATTTTGACGGTGGTTGCACTTGTATAATGACAATATCTAGAGAGTTAAAATATTGTCATAGAATAGATTTTTAGCTATTCATTGTACACGTGCTATGAATAGTAACATTCATCATTTTAAAAACATTTAAGAGTAGAATATTCTTTGACATACTTAAAAGTGATTCTACATCCTTTTGTGTTCTATATATAAATAGATTTTCAACTTTCGGATATTTACGCACACGTAATACATGTAAAAGTATGATTCATCATGTTAATTTGATGTTTGCTACACCTTTTTTTTTCTTGTAAATAATTAATTCTAATGCAAAATAATATTCTACTAGTATCCTTGTTGTTTGTTTTTTTTTTTTTTAATACTTATGTATAAATATTAAAATAAGTATTTATGATTAGATTAATATTCATTCTTATAACATTAAGGTTAAATTATAAATTGTTTTTTTTTTTATAGATATATTTCTTTAATTAGATTATAAAGATAAATTAAGATGTCGACAGATATATTTACTTTATCGTGGTTTATGGTGTTTGCTTTGATTATGTTAATTGCACTTGTTGCTAATATAATTATTATTTTAGCAATACTTCGAGATAAATCTATGCATACATCAACTTATTTTTATATAATTAATGTTAATATAGCCGATATACTTCTTGTACTTAGTTGTTTACCAGAACGTTTAACTGCAGCATTTGGATCTAATGATGGTTTTAATTTAGGCATGTTTATATGTAAGTTTTTGATTTGTTTTTGTTTTTGTTTTTGAATTATTTATTAAAATGAAAGTAAACATTTTGTTACTAGAATGTCATGCTTATGCGTAGGATTCATGAAAGGATCGCTTCTTTTATAATAGTAGTATGACAAAAATAATGTGTTTTCTATATCAAATATCATGAACATATATGAATCTAATCAATGTTGAATGAGAAGTTCTTGTTTTTTATAATCAAAGTCTTATATTTTCATGATATATTTATTAATTTAAACTA